CTCGAGCGTTCAAAACAATAACAAACTCAATACCGCATACAGATCACGTGACTGATAGGACGAGTGTCAATTTCCAGCTGATCACACAGTTTACTGTTCAGTCAAGTAGAACGTGAGCGTCCAATCAGCGCTAAAGCCTTGCAGTTCCACTCGGTTGGTTTTCCGATCTTGTTTTATTTGCTAGGCTGCTTGCATGAGGTTTGAGGCTAGAAATATGTGATGATATCTCGCGAAAAAAGTAAGAATTCGGGATGGGCGGATATGTACGTTTGACGCTGGGCGGAAGGCATTAAATTTTGCTTTAGGCTGGGCGGTAGACTTTTAGGCAGGGCGGCCCCGCCCGGCTCCGCCCTGCACAATTACATCCCTGTATCTAGAGTTCCATGTAAACACGTGTTAGGCCTATTTTTCCTCAGTCAGATGGCCTACCATTTCAAAAATTCTTTGCTAGAGGGCGAGTTTGTTAGGAGATGAGTTTCTTTAGGGGACGACTAAAGTAAGCCTATAGTCGGAGGGGTGATTTTTCCTGGGGGGGGGGCGAGTTAAGAGGCAACTTTGTTAGGGGGCCACTGTGTACAGTCAGGGGCGAGTTTGTTAAGGGGAAAGTTTTTAAGGGGCGAGATTGCAAGGGGAAAGTTTGCTAGGGTCGTGTTCCTGCCTGGTTCCCGCCTACAGCTAGCCTACTATACTAGGCCTAGGCTAGGACGAGGCTCTATCTACAATACTACTTGTTACAGATTTGATTTATTAAAAATTAGACCTATATTTATTTGGAAATTTTATTTGATTTCTGGACAAAAATTGATTGTTAACCACTATTTTGGTCACAGGCTCTATCTACAATACTACTTGTTACAGATTTGATTTATTTAAAATTAGGCCTATATTTATTTGGAAATTTTATTTGATTTCTGGACAGAAATCGATTGTTAACTACTATTCTGGTCACAGAAGAATGTTAGGCATCTATGGACATTTTAAAAAAATATGGAATTTTCAATTATGAAATTTTAACCTCAACTAGAAAAGACTGCATCAAAGAGTATAAATAGAACAAGAGAGCCAACAACGCTCATTGAGAGCGTAAAAAAACGATACGCTCTACGCAGCTAGTGTAGGACGCCAACTAACGCTTGTATGTGTTTTATTACCCAGTACGCCACCGCGCACGGTCGGTTTGTCTGTTTATCTGTTCTCCACATGATACTGTACTATTGTTTTCTGCTTACTGAGTTTATAGCGGGCGTACTTCTACCGCGCTGCACTGGGTAATAAAAAGAATATACAACCGTTAGTGGGCGTCCTACACAGGCATGACGTTTTTACGAACGGGACTTTGCTCTCTTGTTCTATTTATACTATTTGACTGCATGAAAACTGTTCTTATTTATAGATTCAAAATATTAAAAATTTATGCATTTTAATTTTTTCCAGGAGGATATAGGAACAAGTATACCCGTAGATTTTACAAAGAAAGAAGTAAATTTTAATCCAACATATGATCAACTCTTTGCACCAAAGGTAAAATTATTTTCTTCAATATTTTGATTTCAAGTATTTTATTTCATTTGATATTATGACATAGGAGATACTGTACGTAAGGATGCTTTTGAGGATGCCAATAATGACCACAATTTTTATTTTATTTTTAATTTTTAGGTTGGGCCGGTTAATCCGTTTAAAACACAGCAAGCATTGGCGCATAGAAATACTACTGCTGGCTATGCTGAGCCAACTCACTTCAATCCTTTTACATTCGAGAACCAAAGGAAGACATTTCACAGCTACGGTATGATCCCACAGTACTGATTGGTAATAAGGGATAAAATTAATACATTTATTATTACTGTAAATTATCATTTTGGTATTACCAATATAACTTTATGGAGTAGGCAGGAACATTATTTATTGAAATATCTCCAAAAAAGCCAGATGAATATCTGAATTAAGTCAGGTATATTTTTGCATCCTCGACTGACTTTTAGCTGAATATTTGTCCGGAAAAAATTATTCTATGCTAGGCAATATCATAGGCCAGTTCAAACTTGCTGGTGGGCTAGAGTTGGGCCATAGTCCAGTGTTAAACATGGTGATATAAACCATTTAAAATGGGAAAGAAGCGAGTATTGGGAATGTATTAATTGTAATATATTTCTTTCTCATTGTGGGTTTTTTTTTCTTTTTTTAAATATTTTTATCACTTCATCAGGATATGCTTTGGATCCAAGTACAGATGGTGATGGCTCCAAAATTGTAGGATCATTTGATGAGGCTAAAAAAAATGAAGGTAGGTTCAGCGGTGACACCAGCAGGGGCCAGAGAAGGAAATTTCCCCACTGTCGCCATTACAAGGTCGTTGAACCAAAAGTGTTAATTTGTCCATTCAAATATCGTTATTTGCTTTGCCAATCCCTAATATTGTGATGTAAAACCACGATTTTATGCCATACTAAGCAATAAAATCTCTTCCATGAACTCTACCGGGGATTTTAATTTCGGGACACTGACCATGGCTGTTGTCGATTTCTTGGTTCATACCCCCACCGGACATGTCATACCCCTTATTGACAAATTTTTTTTAGCCACCACGGGCTAGGTTACCCCAGTAATATATTGTTATTTCACTGGCTTAAATTCTCTTGGTCAGTCCGATATTTAAAACAGTTTTAGTGTATAGTAAAACTTGCCGAAGTCGAATAATTTTGATCTTATTTTACATGCCAAATTGTGCTTTCCTATTATCTAACTATCTGTAAGTCCAATTTTATCCAAGTCTAACAATTTTTCAATGCCATTTTGGATTTGTACTGTATATGTTTCTGCTATTAAAAAAATATATTCGTTGTTACATAATTTGCACCTAATTATTTTAAGGTAACAAAAGAGGTAATAACTTTAATGATTTTGATATGACAGGGAAAACCGTGTTTGAGACACAAGTTGCCCGTCCTGGAGACAAACGGAAGAAAGTGAGAAAGATGGATGCAAGCGATATTGATGGATTTGAAGGACCTTGGGGGAAATATGTGGATGAAAAGACAGTTGCTGTTCCAACAGAGGTATTGTACTGTTGTATGCCCATATATAGTCATGGTGTGCCCATATATGGTTATGATGTGATGTCATCATGACCATTATTAGGCATGTCACATGTTAAATTTGATAATATGAACAGGGTGTGTGCACTTTAAAATATAAAAGAAAATGCAGGAAAAGCTGCAGCACTCGACTTGTGGAAGTGGCGCTGCGAGCAGCTCTCTGAGATGAATATGTGTGCCTTATAAGATGACATTAATGTTATTGTTATTTTTATTGTTATTATTATTATTATTATTATTATTTTTATCTTACTAAAACCTACCTTAAGGGGAACTCTGGCAATGGAGAAGTTATAGAACAATTAAAAAACGATGTTAAAGGGAAAATAACACAAAAGATATTCTCATTAAGTCCTTTTTGTCAAGTATAAAAGTGAAGTGATCCCATGAGTTTAACCAGAAGTAGTAAGGAATTTGTAGCTATACCACTAATACAACATAAGGCCTAGGTGTTTCCTGTTAGCCAGTTAGTGCATTTTTTTGAAGTAAGTGGTGGTTGGAAAGTAAGTGACTGTTGTCACATTTTTTTTTGACAGTTTTGGTAGTTGGAAATACAATGTTTCAATGCTACGTATTGCTTTGGTTCTGTGTTCAAAACGTTGCATGTGTAGTGGCAAGTAGGCTGACCATGAATTTTGGTGAAATCATTTCGGGTCACAAAATCTGAAAATGGCCATTCTAAAAATGAGTCCAAAAACCTATATACTGAAAGTGTGAAATAGTGCCCTTCTTGGAAATAAAAAGTGGAGACGTTACTGTGCGTTTTTGAAGAGGAGTGGAGCTATGGGATTTGTGTGCATGAGCTTATTTTTTTGGCATTGCTCATGTTTTTACTGCATGTTGCCTGTCGTGACTAATAATGAGTGGATGTAGGAATTTAATATTAGAGGAGGGGGATCCTAGAAAGTCAGTTTTTAGTGGAGGGGGAGCCAGACCATTTCATAACTCAGCCCCACCATGGACATTTAATTGTCTATAGCAATTCTAGATGGCCAGAAATGACACTCTCAGACTCAAAAGGTCAATGTAAATTTTCTTTTCCATTACATTTTTTTTTTTTTAAAGTTGGTAGGACCCAGTTAATTTACCTATATAACCAATGATAATGATTGTTGTATTTATTGTTTTTAATCATAATCATCCTTGTAATTTTCATTTTTATCAAATTTTATGAAAGGCAAATTACAGTAGAATTTTTGAAGAAAGAGCATAATTCTTTGTTATGCCACTAACTGGTATAAGGCTATTAAATAAAAGTAGATAGGAATAACTTTGTTAAATTACATGTTTTTTAAATGGGTTTCTTATTAGATTTTTAGTTTTTACGCTGTTATTTATTATTATTCAGTCCTGTGTGAAATTGGCCCACATGGGAAAAATAAAGAATTTTTTGAATTTTTTAATGGAATTTTGAATTTTTTGAATTGAAAAACTAATGAAGAATGTTTCTTTACAGGAGGAGAAGGAAGAATTAGATGAGATTTTAGCAAAGAGGAGTAAGAAAGGAAAGAAACAGGAAGAAAAAGTGGGAGAGGAAAAATCTACATTACATAGTAAGTTGAGAGGTGTTGAATGTTTTGCTGGATGTTAATCTTTATTCAACATAGATAAAAATGATTATGATTATGATGATGATGATGATGTGGATGATGACAGTAATAATGGATTGGTGGTCGTATAGATGATGATAATTACAAAAATAGTAATATTGATAATTATGATCCGTATAATGATTATAATAATAACAACAATGATTTCATTTCATGTTGATCTCATTTCATATACCGTATTGTCTCAGAAAACAGCCAAAAAATATGATTCACATATAAAAAGATGGACAGACCGGAAATCCAAAAAGAGAACTAAATCAACCGTCAAGTAGATTATGTGTACATAACAATATGATTGAGACAAAATAACAAAAAAATATAAATATGTGTCATAGTCAACCCTTAAAAGAATCTTTCTAAGCTTTATAAAAAATAAAAATGAACATTGGAGATATTGAAGATTGTGGTAGTGTTTATACTAATACTAATAACAAGAAAACCAAAAAAAAAAAAAAAAAAAAGAACTTATGTTGCACAAGCCAGAAGTAATAGCAAATGATGTTGATTATGTAAATGAACACACTGAATATTATAATGAAGGTTATGACAATAGTGATAATGTTTTGGTATAATTGTATTATACTTATGATAGTTGGAATTAAGATTTAAATATCTCTATGGTCAACATCTTTTTTTAAACATATATCCTGCAGGGCATTTATTTCTTACATAATTCCTATTCTGTTACACTTCCTCAGTCAAAGATGCGTACGATTATCAAGACCGCTCCTTCCTACACATTCCAATGGATCTCGATGTTGACCTCAAGTCGGAGGATCCACCTGAGAAATGTTACCTGCCGAAGAAGCTCCTACACACCTGGACGGGACATACGAAAGGTGTTGCTGCTATTAGGCTTTTCCCAAAGTCAGGCCATTTGTTGTTATCATGCGGAATGGATAGTAAATTAAAAGTGAGATTTGTGTTCAAAAGAATATTTTATTCTTCTATTAAATAATAATTATCTTGTCTGTAGGGAATTCAAGAATATATAATATATGTAAATTAATGAGTTACTTAAGAAATTATAAGAATGACATAAACATATGTACAGTAATTGATTCCCTTCCTTTATTTGTATTTTCTTACCTCTTGTCTCCTTCCATTTAACCCTTTGAACCCTGCATTATTTACATCTTGCGGCACCCTCACCCTGAGTTATTTGGACAAAATATGCTTATTTTTTATTACAATCATTACCACCACCTCCTACCGCTACCATAGCCATCCATCAACCCGATGAACAACTATCATCACTACCGCCGTCTGCTGGCACTAGCACTATCGTGATCGGCCTGGCCTAGAGCTAGAAACTACACTGTTTACCTCACTATCACTTTTCAAATCAATTCCTGGATAATCGTCATCATCAATATATCCTTGGGAGTTATAAAGTATCAATCGTAAAGCACGTTGGCATTTATTGTCAAATTATTCAATATTAATTTGTTTTTTCTAAAAAATCATCACGTACGAGGCTGTCAGAACGACTTGGGAATGATGATGTCACAAAATTACGTCATATTACTCATACTGGTCAGGTGATTATCCCGAATAATGTCACCTGACCCGCAAAGCCGGTATACCGGTCTTTAGGGTTATTGCAGCGTAAGCGCGCAGCCGTTTTTCCGGCCTTTAGGGTTTAAAGGGTTAAGCCACTTTTAAACAGCTATATTACCTCATTCCCAACAATGCCTTCTTGATAAGGCCCGAACTAACTGCAGGAGCAGTAGCAATATTGAGTTCAACCATGGACCTAGTAATATTCCCACAATATTTTTGTTCTGGGGTGTGTCTGAAACAAATGCAGGTCACATTTCCACAATATTACTTATCAGCAATTTTCTAGAAACAGTAAACATTAATGCACGAATTCACTCTGTGATGACTAAAAAGATTAACTAATAGCTCTCGCAATGTGTGTGTGTAATCCATTCTGAAAGGCGTTATATTACAGCAATATAACAGTGATATTTGGTTGGTACAAATGGTCCATGTCGGTAAGTGTACTGGTATTATTACCGCAATAATTGCCAGAACCTCTGTCTGAAAAAGGCTTTTGTGCCTTTCCTGCCCTTTAGTTTTTCAATGTCTTTTTCAAGTTTTGACTTTGATCTTAAACACTTTTTAGTCATCTCTTGACCTGTCTCCACTAATTAACACTTCTGCATCTCTTTGTCGTTTCTCACCCTTTGACCTTCCTCCAGTTGTAAACCATTTTTACCATATCCCCACACACTGTATAATCTTACCCTGCTTTTCCTGCTACTTGTGTCTGACTGTTTCCAATCCCTCATTTTAAACTTGTTTTTGTTTCTGTTGCCAGTTGTGGGAGGTGTATAACAAAAGGCGGGTTATCCGCACATATTTAGGTCACAAGCAGGCTGTCCGTGATGCATCCTTCAATAATAGTGGAGATAAGTTTATCAGCGCAGGCTACGACAGATACATGAAAATTTGGGATACAGAAACGGGTAAGAAGTACTTACAAATCATTACTGTAGTCTTTAATTGTCACTGGAGGCCAAAGCATCCATGAAGGTGTGAGCTGTTGTGACAAAGTGAATTTTGTATAAAAAAATGATTGAGTTAATATATTTAGATAGATGACTGCATAGAATTTATTTTGGTTTTTGCATCAAGTTCCGTTCCTATCTTAATCACAATTGAAGTAGGCTCATATTTTAAATTTAGAACTCTGAAAATATATGTTTAACACATTGACTGCCAGACCTTTTTTCAGGTTCCTTCTTGTGTGTCAGAAAAAGTATACATGTACAGACATAGTTTTTTTGAAATCATAGTCATATATCATCGCAATGGTATGTCTAACAAATTGACGGGAAAATATTAGGGGGACGAGTAAACTCGTCTCCGGCACTGGCACAACATTTTTTATTTCTCTGCCAAGTGTTAGTTTTCTCGTTCACTTTTTGCATGGCTTGGTATGCGTTCAGAGGGCGCACCCACTTTTGCAATCGAGTGTACTGCCGGCAAGATAACACAACAATCATACATCCGTAATTTGTATGTTATCGTCTAGGTGTGTCTTCCCCGAACTACCAGCCGTTATGTCTGTGGTTCTACAATGTATTATAACAAAGAAGTAATTAATGCTAGGATGTTACCCCTACCTTGACGAGTACAGTCATTCCTAGTGCCCTCAGCAACACCCTGTGGGGCAAGTATACTCGTCGCTGGCAGCCAACGTGTTAATAATAGAGAAAATTTCCATTGAAGATAAACAACTGATAAATTTTGTGTTGGTTTTCCTATCAATTCTGAAAAATATCTTTACAAAATATGCCTCAAACATACTTTTAACTAATGTTAATCAACTTGTGAAATATAAATATTAAACTTATTAGAAAGATTTAATCCCATTTTTTGACAAAATGTCACTTCATGTATATTTTCTTGAATATCACAACCTGACTAATTTTATCACGAAACCTCACTAATGGGTAATTCCATGTCAAATCAACCAAAAAAAAACCTCAATCTCTCGGATTTTGTTCAAATTTTTGTATGTTGTTGAGGCCCATGAGAAACGATCAGAAATGAAAAATTTTTTCTCTAGGCCTCCTAATTAGCGAGATATCTGCTAACGAACTTTTGGCTAATTAGCGATACCTTGCGTGTTTAACCGACCATATCTCGAAATGTATGGCACCTACAGAGCTGATTTTGGTGTCATTTTAAAGCTATTGAGTAGCTCTATAACCTGTCTCTTATACACATCTAGATGTGTATAAGAGACAGGCAATAGTGATTATATTGGTAAGACAGATAGGTGCTTAATAACTAGACTTAAAGAACATTCTTCACGATCTGATAGTGTTATATTTGATCA